TGCAGGAAGACCTTGTACTGGGTGCTGATTTTCCCCAACGGCGGTGAGGATCTTTTCCGCCCTGCTCGCCAGGAACTCTTGAGCCTTTTTGCTGCAATGGTCCTGGTACTGACTGGCTGCCCGGACATCAGGGTGGGCCAGCTCGGCCGCTTTTTCCCCACACAGCTTATCCGCCAGGTCATTGACCTGCTGTCTCCACGAGTTTTCCGCACCCACCTTTCGGAGGAACTCCTCCTCTGAAACATGGGATGGAACCCATTTCATTTTGAGGCGGTTGACATCTGTGGTTTGCAGCTCCCACCAGATGTCACCGTGGGTCTTGCCCGGCTTTGGGCTGCGGACTCGTTTCGGGACACCAAGGCAGTCTAGTGTCGTGTCAATAGGGCCTTCGGTATAACGGGCCAGCTGCAAAACGGCATACAGCTCCCCCCGAAAAACCGTCTGTGGTCCAGGGACTTGGCCTACGATTGCTCCTACCTGGACGTATTCTTGGCCCTGTTTCTTGGGAGGCCCCTGGTCCACAGCGATCTCGGGCCTTGGGCCCTGCCTTCCTGGAGCCATGTTGGCAACTCCCAGTTCTGGGCTTCCCACCAAGCACAATCCAAGAGCACATGCTCCCAGTCCGCTTCCTGGTGGCATCGGGGGCACACTTTGACAGCAGAGTTTTGGCTGCACACCAAGGCACCCTGCCAAACACACCTCAGGGCAGCTGCTTTCGTGGTTCGCCCTTCTTTCTTAAATCCCCCCAGCAGTTTCCTCCCTACCGTCCAGTCGACCCCCTCCTTGAGCTCAGGGGCAGCGAGGCCGGTGGCGATGCGGCGGTCCACCTCTTTCTGATAGGTTTGCTGGAGGAGGTCTAGGACACGACACTCCTGCTGTAGGGTGTGCATGGTGTGTCTGGTGCCTTGGGTGTCCAGCCACTCATCACTGCCTCTAGGCTGCCAACCCAGGTCAAGCAGGTATGCAACTGTGGCTGCCAAAGGGCCCCTTACCATTTGCCACCTGCTGCCGGCTTCTTCCAGCTTTTGGACTGTGAGGCCCCAGGTTCTCTCCAGCAGGTCTTCCTTGCCGGCCCACCTCTTCTTGAGCTGGAACCAGGCTTCAACTTGCTGGACCATCATGGTGCGACCCGGATCCTGGTACCTGTCTCCTACAGAGGACAGAGCCACCTCTAGGTTGCCCATTTTCTGTCTGCCACACTGTTCAGCCAGGGCAGTCCGGAGCTTCTGTCTCCGGGTGGGTGGCATTCCCTGGGCTTGGTGGCCCCAAGTAAGGACGGAGGCAACCCCTCCTCTGAAGAGGCGGACCTTGGCCGGCGCGCCACTCCTGTGGTTTCAGCCAAGTTCAGGACTTGGGTGAGCTGCTCATAGGCCGGCCCAGGGAGGTTTTTGAGGGCAGCATAGGTGAGCCCATCAAGGCCTCCTGCCTTGTCGGTGACATTCTTGAGGATGACCTTGAGCACCTCTGCTGTTATCTTGAACAGCGGGGAGGCTTTGGCTGCATCCAGCAGGGTTTGGCCGATTGGGGGGGAGCATTCTACCTCTCCCCAAATTGCGACCCACTGCTTCCTCCTGGCCCCTGGGCGCTCTTCGCCTGGGAGGTTCTGGAAGGGCCGATCTAGGACTCTCTCACTCTTCTTGAGTGCACTACTTGGCTCTCTGCATCTGGAGGGCCGCCTCCTTGTGCCTGGCAGTGACACTCAAAGACCGCCACTGTGGTTCTTTTGCTGCTTGTGCAGTTCTTTGAGGAAGTCAGGCCCTTCAGCAATGTCTTGACAGGTTTGGAGGGGGCCTAGGTCCGGTAGGTGCTGCTGGGAGGCAGGCACTTCCTCCAGGATTCTGGCCAGTCGTGCCCACCAGCCCACCTCAGAACCTTTGGGGGCAGTGGAAGGTCGCTGCAAGACTAAGCGTCCCCATTGGGCCTGCACACACCAACCTCTGCCAGTTCTCGGTGCTTCATGGCAGTGTTCTAGGCTGGCCGCCCAGGTCGCCATTTGCCAGGTGCTCTGGTCCTCTTGGGCACAGGTCCTGTCCATTATGGCGAAGTGGGAGGGTTGGACCTCTTGCCATTCTTGGTTTTTGAGGTCTGCTGTGAGCTTCGGGAACTGGGGAAGCTTCCAGGACTTCCATTCGCTGGCACCGTCCTTGACTTTGTGGTGCAAGGCTGCATGTGGTTTCCATGGGACTGCCCAGGTCACAGACAGATCCACCAGGGCTTCCAGGCTCCGACTCACAACCCCAAAGTCCTTTTCCGCCCCATGGTTGCATGTAGCCTCTCCAGTGGCTACCATCCTCCCCCTCATCACCTGAATCAGTGCTGTGTCCTGAACTTCGGTCGGGTCCAGGTTCCAATCTCCCAGGATGATCCAGGGTTCCGGGAGGGTTCGTACGAAAGCCACCAGAGAGGATAGCACCTCTGCATTAGTGGGACCATTTAGGCCTTCCGTGTCCCTCAGGTAGAGGGACAGGATCGTGTAGTCCCATCGTCTTTGTCTCAGACCCACAGCTGTGTAGCCTGCCCCTTTGCATTGGTAGGTGGCCTTTTGCCACACTCCGCTGTTTGTGGGAAAGGCACAAGCACAAGCAGTGCCTCCCAACCTTGTGCCCTTATCCGACAAGGAGGCCGGCTCAGCATAGAGATCCCATCCTAGGGATTGCAGTGTGGCTCTCCTACCATGCAGCATTTCCGGTGTGAGGTGGGTTTCTTGCAGACGCACCACCTTGGCTTTGGAGGAGGTCACCCACTCCAGTGCCCCGTTGTTGAGACTGGTGACATTGGCACTCATGATACCTAGACACTGGTCAGGCGAGGCGGAAGGGTCAACCTTCTCATGGTTGGGCTCTTCTGAGTCGGTGCCCTTGCCGTCGGTTGGGTCTTCCTCTCGTTCCTGCTGACCCAGCACCTGCTCTGGTGTCAGGGGCTCCTCCTTTTTTGGGGTTCCAGAGGCTATCATCTCCTTTGCTTGACGAATAGCCTCCTGGTGACATCTTCTCCTGTCTCTAGGGCATGCAGGGCCATCCTGCACCATCCCCAAGCTGGGGAGTCTTCCTCCATCGCTTCTTCTTGGGCTTCGATGAAGTTTAAGATGGTGGCTTCCTTTGCCTGGAAGGGGTTTGCTTGGTCTTCCAGGAGGTTCACCACCTCTTGCCATGTCAGCTCCGAGCCCAAGTCATCTGGGCTGATGGAGGAAGGTGTCACCTTCGAGGCTTCATCCTTGCAATGCTTCGGGGAAACCTCTTGGGTTTCCAGAGGGTTCCCATCAGGGTTCACCTCCCAAGGTGATTTCGCTTGTTCACTTTCTGCAGGCCGACAAAAGTGGCTGGGCTTCTGCCAGCCTTGTTCACAACCACTGCTGTTTGCAGTAAGTTGCTTCCCCAAGGCCTCCCTCAATCTTTTCCCATGTAGATTGATGTGAGCACCTTGTTTGTAATATTCTGCACACGCTATTAGGAACTGCTGGGCAGTTCGCAGCATGTGTTCCAGCCCTTGCTTGGGGTCGCACATTGGCTCTGTGGGGCCCTTGCTTTGGGGCTCCAGGCCCCACACGCCGAGTCCCTAGGCCACCGGGCCAAACCCTGGCGGGGCGTTGGCATTTCCGGGAGGCATCCCCTCCTGGGGTCGCTCCTCAAGGCCTGGAGGGGTGGGGACCTCCTGTGTGCGACGCCTCTTTGCTTCTCGCTACCCACGTTGGAATTTTTTTTCGAGTTGAGCGAACAAATGCGAACCACCGTCTTGGTGTTTGGGTTGTGAAAACCGTGCCTCTGTACTGGCACCACTGATGGCCCTCTTGGCCCTAATGTACAGGGGAGGAAGAACCTCCTCCTAAGCTACCATCCTCTTTGGGATGCTACCAGAGGTTGTACCTCATGAGAGGAAAGAAACCTCCTGGCAAAAGCTCCTCAGGTTGCTGGTGCAGGGGTTGCAACCGTGAGAGAAGGGGCCAGGGGTACCCACGTTGGAACCCAGGTTCAACCCAGGTTCAAACCCAGGTTTAACGACTTGAGGGGTGCAGTGGCCTAACCCGGTGATGTAAACCCAGTTTGTCAAGTGGTCTCATCCACCCTCGCACGGGGTAATTAGGCATGAGGTGCTTTCTGGAACCCTCCGCACAGTGACCTGGAGTGCCAGACCAGAACCAGGAGTGAGGAGGTGGCATCCTCGGGCTGTGAATTGGCGGACTTCACTGCCCAGGGCCCACAGGGCGACTTATGAACGTCAGGTGGCCGCGTCCGCGCGTCCGCGTCCGCGCGTCCGCGGGTCCGCGGGTCCGCGCGTCCGCGCGTCCGCGGGTCCGCGCGTCCGCCGGTCCGCGCGTCCGCGGGTCCGCGCGTCCGCGGGTCCGCGCGTCCGCGCGTCCGCCGTTTCCGCGTGTCCCGCGTGTCCCGCGCGTCCGCGCGTCCGCGGGTCCGCGCGGGTCTGCGGGGGTCCGCGCGTCCGCGCGTCCGCGTGTCCGCGGGTCCGCGCGTCCGGTCCGCGCGCCGCCCTCCCGAAAGGAGCAGTGGAAACCTCAGGTAACAGATCCTGCACCCCAACTGCGGAGCAGCGAAGGGGCAGAGAAGCCATTGGACAGCCCGTGCATACTTGAGAATGAGAGGTAGGAGCAGTCCCTAGACCCTGAGTCCGAAAGAATGTAAACCCTGAAGAGCGTAAGTGAAATAGCGTAAGCCTGGAGCCGCTTTGTAGGGCTAAAGTGTCGAAACCTTGACCCTGAACCCTAAGACGCTGGAAGAGCCCGAATCTGCAAGGCATCCACTTGCCCAAAGTCTGGAAGCATGGTTCAGTGCCGGATGCAGGTTTCTTTTCACTGCTGCAAGTGACAGTGAGAATGCAAGTAGCTGCAGCACGAAGAAGCCTCGTGAGAAGGAACATGTTTCTAGTCGTTTAGAAGCCTCATGAGAAGGAACATGTTTCTAGTCGTGTGGCTATTTCGTGTAGTGTTGAGGGAGGTATATGTTTGATAAAGTACTAGTGGCTGTGTGAGTGTCTCAACAGTGCAGAACATGGCTTCTAAAGGAAGCGACACGGAGAGCAGGTGCGCGAGAGCACTTGCGGATCTCCTCGAGTCATGTGACCCAGCGGCCGTGCTAAGCGAGGAGCAAGTTCACAGCATCTCGGAGAAGCTGGCTAAGAACTTGAAGCCATTGCTGCCATTGTTCGGAAGCGAGAGGCAGTTGCACGAGCTGATGCCACTGGAAAGATCATGCCCTGTGTGCGGGCTAGCTTTGTCCGAGAAGCGCAGCAGCAGTGCCAAGGCAGTTATAGTGGACAAGCGAGGCATTGTGCAAAAAATGCATGTGCCTCTAAGGTGCCAGAACAGGGCGTGCGAAATCAGTGGAACTTGGTTCTGGCACAATTACCAGGTCCGGAATAGGCAACATCTCTTCACAGGCCAGGCCTCTGATTTGCAGTGCTTCATGCTGTCAGCTTCTTTCGGCTTCTCTACAGCATGGTTGAAGCAGTTTCAGCTGCGCATGCTGCGGCAGCACGCAAGTTTTATCGGAGAAGCGGACGTGGTTACTGCAGAAGCAAGAGACGCAGGAATGGAAGCGCTAGTCCCTGCCCGTCTGCGTTCGCTGATTTCGGAAGCTTGGTTCAAGTATCGCTGCTTGATCCGCTTGGAGAGTCTGGGCGCTCCCATTCCCGCCGTGGATTTGCGATCTCCCGTGGAAGATGTTCTGCAGCGGCACCTACCGCAATTGGAGACAGCATTCACAGAGACCTCGCTTGAGCGCGCGAGGAAAGCTGGGATGCGGTGCGATGTAGTTGCCTTGGATGGCAACTGTAAAAATCGGCGTGCAGTCTGCGCCGGGTCTACTCAGTGCCCACGCTTGGGCAAAGCAGTGAGGCATAATTGTCCGAGAACGCCGATGCTGGGCCAGAAATTTTGCCCGGAGCATACCGGCGAGACGAGTGAGGCGAGCAGGGAGTTTTGGGGTCGTTAACTTCGTCCCCCCAAAGGCCTGTGCGGGGGACAGTGGAACGCAGGAGGAAGCGCTATAGCCAACCATGCGTCGCTTCCCCTTCAGCCCCTAGGCCCTAAACCCAATTCCGGCTTTCAGAGCACTAAATTATACACCATCCTAAGCCCCAGCCCTAGTACGTTCGGCCAGCGGGGGCACGCAAGACAGCGTGCTCCCGCTGTCGTTCCGTGTCGTCTGCGTTCCTCACAGAACCCTGCAACAACCCTACGGTCGCCCGCCTCGTAGGTCTTTGGCCAGCAGGGGCAGGCCAGCCTGCCCCCGCTGTCGTTCCGTGTCGTCTGCGTTAGACGTATGTATATGTATATGAACCCTAAACCCTAATTCCTAAACCCATAAACCCTAAACTCTAAACCCTAAACTTTGGGGCATCAAAGAAAGGGTACCCCAAAAGACCTCCCAAAACCCCCTGATCTGTGGGACTTGCGGCGGCCATCACCACGCCCACGGCGCCACGCCGCTGCATCAGGTCAGGCCTTCTCGTGCCAGCCCCCTAAGCCAGGCAACACGTTGAGGTCTTAGGGTTTTAGGGTTTAGGGTTTAGGGTTTAGGGCTAGGGTTTAGGGTCCTGGGGCTTAGGGTTCTAAAACTCCGGAATATGGGGGGTTCGTCCGGGGATGGCCGGACGGCTTTCGGCCCCCAGGGTGCTGAGCCTTGAGGATGGCACATTCGGGGCTCCTTTTAGGAGGCTTGGGGGGTTTAGGGTCGGTTTGGGGTTTGGGGTTTGGGGTTAAAGGTTTGGGGTTTGGGGTTTGGGGTTTGGGGTTTGGGGGTTAGGGTTTAGGGTTTAGGGTTGAGGGTTTAGGGTTTTGGGGTTTAGGGTTCCGGGGTCTTTTGGAGTGAGCAGGTTTCGGGCCCTGTAGGACTTGGGGAGCAGGGGCTGAGGGTTGAAGGTCTTGAAGGCTTAGCGGTTTACGGGTCTATAGGGCCTAAACGGTTTTAGGGGTTCGGGGGCTGAACCCTAAATCTCGCGACCCCACTCAAGCCTTGAAATATATTGCTTTTTGGGGCAGCTAAGTGGGGTTTAGGGTTCAGGGTTCAGGGTTTTAGGGTGTTAGGGTTTAGGCTTTAGGGCTCAGAGCCAAAAGGTCCATGAATTGCTTGCTCTGGGTTCCAGGGTTGCTACGCGGACTCGATCTAAGTGTCCTGGACAACCTGCTTAAGTCACTCAACTTCGTACCCTAAACAATTTCATCGTAGTAGCAGAGAATCCCCATCTCCGCCGGTAGTATGGGATGTCTAGGGCTTACGGGTGAGAGGCTGAGGGTTTGCTACCGCTACGCAACGCGACTTCTGATCCGGCAGGCCTCAGTTCGACGACAAGTTGGAGAGACAATGCTTGCAAGCGGTTTAGAGTTTAGGACTTACTTGGAGGTTCTCATGGTACTTATGAACCAGTTATCACTGTACTTACAAGCCGCTTATGAGCCCCTTAAGTGCACCAATGTAGGTATAAGAATTGGTTCATAAGTACCATGAACCTCCAAGTAGGGTGTAGGGGGTCCACGGTGTCTTTTCTTGCATGGGCGCGGCATCGTGCCAGTGTAACCCACGCCCCCCAAAACGGGAACCCGTCTCAGGGAGCAGGGTATGCCGAAGGGGCAGTCACCGCCGAAAAGCGTAGGCTGTTCAGCTGGCGAAGCCATGCTCGGGCACCCTAAACCCTGAACCCTGAACCCTAAACCCTAAACCCTAAACCCTACACCCCTAAACCCCTAAAACCCTAAACCCTAGAAACTCTTCATGAAGTCCAAGTCCACGTTCCAAGCTCGACCGATCCGAGGACAGCTCCCTAAGCCCTAAACGCGCTCCCTGAACCCAGAACCCTAAACCGTGGCCCTGAACTGTATCTCTCTACACTATACTTTCCTTGGAGTCAGCAATGCAAAAATCCTAAGGGGTCTATAGTCTCCACCCTCTACCCGGACCATTGGGTTCGTTTAGGGTCTAGGGGTTCCATTCCTGGGCATCTAATTTCATGCTTAGCACAAAATCATGAAGCGTAAGAAAAAAGGTACCCGAGAGAACGAACTGCGCGTGATGGTCCGGGTAGCAAGCATCCTCGGAATCGCAAAAGCCTCGAACATCATATTTAAAAAAAGGTCCTCTGGAACCTCAAGAAGGGGACTTCCAAATCCCAAACCCTAAATCCGCAACTCTAATTAACCAAGAAAAGTGAGGGCATCAACTTGAAGTGTCCATTAGAGGATGTTCAGGGTCCAGGGATTAGGTTTGGAGGCCTGATAAGAATTGGGACTGCTATATGATATATGATGTGGGATATATGATGTATAATATATTATATTTTACAACGTATATGATATATGATATAGGAGATATGATAGATGATAAATGATATATGATATATAATATATGGTATGTGATATATGATATATGATACATATAATATATATATATATACATATATATATATATATACGGCTTTCAGAGCACCAAAATATACACCATCCTAAGCCCCAGCCCCAGTACGTTCGCCCGCCTCGTAGGTTTTGGCCAGCGGGGGCACGCAAGACCGCGTGCTCCCGCTGTCGTTCCGCGTCGTCTGCGTTCCCCCCGATATTATCCCTACGTTCGCCCGCCTCGTAGGTCTCTGGCCAGCGGGGGCAGGCCAGCCTGCCCCCGCTGTCGTTCCACGTCGTCTGCGTTAGACGTAGTACGTATGCATATGTATATGTGTATGTATATGTATCTGTATTTGTATTTGTATGTGTGTATGTATATGTGTATGTATATGTATATGTATATGTGTATGCATATGAATATGTATGTGTATGTGTATGTGTATGTGTGTAGAAAAAATATAGATAGATATACATATCAAAGATAATATCAAATATACATATTAATATATTTATAACCACAAGTATAATTATATATATATAGACATATAAACATACATACCAACCAAAACTAAACATAAGAATAAAGAAAGAAGTATATATATATATATATAGATATATGATGTGGGATATATGATATATAATATATTATATTTTACAATATATGTTATATGATATATGATATATGATGTATGATGTATGATATATGATACATATATATATATATGTATATATATATATGTGTATGTATATATATATATAGAAAAATATTATTTACATATGTATACAGGTATTGCCGAGTTTGTGCCCCTAAAAACACCTTCCTCACTCAGGCTGCAAGCCCGAAACCCTGACAAGGGCAGATTTGGTAGGTGTAGTGTCGCCAAACATAACACGGTGAGGCTGCTGCGGGAGAAGCAGCGGAGTTGGAGATCTTGGGTCACCGTCAAACAGAAGATGGGGCTGTCGAGGTTCACTTGCTGGAGCGAGGAGGCGCCGAAAGAGATGCGTGGGTGAGTGAAGACTTGGTTCCAGGTTCTGTGCTGGTGGATTTCTACAGGCAGCTAGGCTTGCAACGCTTGGCCCAGAAAGCGCGAAAGGTGAAGCAAAAGAAAGCAGCGGCCCGTGACAGTGGCGAAATAGCTCCGATCCCGGTTGGACAACGGGCAGAGGCATCTGATGAAGTAGACCTGCAGGCTGTGTCCTGCAACACACACAAGGAGGTGCAGCATGGCGGCTTGCTAAAGACAGCTGGCATGCTCGTGGCGTGCTTGTCGTCTGGCATCATTGTCAGTTTGAGGGAGTTTTTCGGATGCGAGTCGCTTTCACAAAGATATTTGGCCATTTCGAATCTACGTGCTCACTGCCATGAGATGAAACTGCTCGTTCACGATGACGCCTGTCACGTGCACCGCTACTGCGCGCGACGGCAACAGGCCAGGTATGTGTCCAAGATATGCGGTTCAGGCCCTCCAGTCTTAGGTTCAAGAATTCCGGGCCCTGCAATCTCTACTTTGGGTGTCCTGGCAGTGAGTCTAGTTGTTGGTCTACTTTCAGGCTTCAAACCTGCAGTCCGGGCTCCAGGCCCTGCAGTCTCAGTCTCTGCTTTGCGCAGGGCTTGCAGTCTCTAGTTTAAGGTGTGTGTGTGTGTGTGGTGTGTGTGTGTGTGTGTGTGTGTGTGTGTGTGTGTGTGTGTGTGTTTGTTTTTTTTTTTCGGGCGCCAGGGCAGTCTCTGGTTTCCGCCCCTGCAGTCTCCACTTTCTACTTTCGGGGTCGTCTCTCTTTTTTTCGGGGGCTCCAAGGTCCTGCAGTCTCTCGTTTGCCAGTGTCTAGTTTCAGAGCTCCGGTCGCTGCAGTCTCTACTTTCGAGCTGCAAGGTTAGGTCCGGTCCCTGCAGTTTCTATTTTCTCTCCTTCCGTGCAATCTCTACTTTGGGCTTGTCTCTTGTTGAGGCCTTGCCAACGCTAGGTCAGGGCTGAGAGTACGAAATCTGTAGTTGAGGGGTCCGAAGCTGTAAAGCCACAGCGCTAATGGGCAGCCGCTTGGTTTAGAAAAATCTCCTGTTGGGGTCGACCTCTTGACGCGTAGAACCTCCCTCGCTTGAGGCGTCCGACGCCGCAGCGCAGATAGCCCCTCCCGCGCTTTCCTTCGCGTGCGACGCGTTCCACATGACTGGACACACGGACGAGTGGTGCAAGCGTACCTGCCACCCGGCGCTATTCGCAACGCTCCTCGACGGCGTCAGAACATCCGTATGTGAATTCACTTTTACATGGATGTCTGCGTACAAGCACCAGACAAAGCACATGTCCCAGTATGGCTTCCGCTTCTTTCTGATGGAGATGTCGTGGGCCCACAATGATGAGATCTTCGAACGAGTGCGCCGAGCTGGAAGCTAAAGTCTGCAGTTGCAGGGGGAAGCATGCCCGAAGCTTGAATCCTTGACCGAGTGCTTAGGCAGAACCGCGTTCCGCTAAAACCCCCTGTGTGAGGCGCGAGTTCCCGGGCTGCTTATTGGGACACCCCCGTCTGAGCTTCCCTGCCCTGCGCGTGTAGGCAACATTCCGGTACAGTTGCTCACGTGCGCTTGAGTCCCTGGCCTGCTTACATGACGGCTGCCTGAGTCCCCTGGCCCTGCGCATCTAGGCAACATGTCGGTACCGTTGCCCGCCTGAACCTTTCTGGCCTGCTTTTAAGGATATAAGGTTCCGGGGTTCGAAGACTGTCCGGTGTACAGCAAACCCACAAGCCGTACCTGTTGCAGTCGCACCTCTGGCATCATGTAGCCCAGCAAGTAGCCTGCAAGCGAAGGAATGGTCTGAATAGTTCTACTGCCCCAAGCGAAGATTTTGCATGAGCTATTTGAAGTGGTTGTCCTGAGCAGTTTTGAAACGCAAGCCCAAGCATGAACGCGCGGCTCCCCAGTACACGCAATAGCCTCGAAGCCCCGATAACCTGTGAACGCAACACTGGCGCCGCTTGCAGCTGAGAGCCTAGTGCAGGGACAGGACAGCGTGGGCGCACTGTGCCTGTCGGTGGGGTTGCTTTCGGAAGGGGAGAAAGACAACGTGCTGGCATACCGGTGCTCAAGCGCAAGGCCATGTCTTGAAGCGTCGGTGCTGCGGCGGTCGTGACATTGGATGAGCTGGGCAAGTAAGAACCACGTAGGTTGCGTTGTAGCTAGCTGCGCGCAGAAACGCAGAGTTGGGTCAGAGCGGGCTGGGGGGGAGATCGCTTGTAAGAGACGTGAGTTGGTAGTGATACAGTAGCAGCTGGTTCCAGTGACGCCATGCCTCCTCGAAGTGATGTTGAACGGCAGTATTTGCCGGCCATGAAGTTGATGTGGTCGGAAGTAGATCGGCACTTCAATGCAACAGAGCTTCTGACACCCACAGGGCACCGCTTCGCCCAAGCATACGCCGTGCGAGCTTCTCACAACGAGTTTGCCTACGCCATGCATCTGTTGTGCCTCATGTGTGGTCTGGTCAATGGCGCAAAGGTATCGATCTTTCCCACAGGGCCATCGCCAATGGTATGTTTCTTCATCAACATCAATTATTCTCAAACCAGAAAATCGTCCTTGACGGGACACGCAGAGTCATGCAGTAAGATCTTGGACTCCGCCATCGGCGATTTGGTGCGTGAAGCTGTTGAGAAGGCGGCGGCCGTGGAGGCTCAGCAGGGCAAGGATCCTGGCGCGGAGCCGAGTGCGAGGCGCGAGAGGGTGCCATCAGGGACGCGAAAGACATGAAAAGAGAACATGCAAGGTAGTCCTAGAAGTGCGTCGAAGTTGTTCCGGAGCTTGAACGTTGGAGGACCTTGAAGAAATTGGCTAACGGCAGCAGCAGTCGATATTGTGGAAAGACCGCGGACACAACTTGGAGGGAAGTAACTAGAGGCAGTAGAAGTGAGCAGTTTGTGGGGCCGCCGGCGTAAAGCCTGAGGCCAGCCCGGCCGGCGCTGGTTTCGGCGACCATCCAGTCGGCAACGCCAGAGGAATGGTTTCGCCGGTGCAGTGGAGACCTTGAACAGATAAAGAACATCCAGAAAATGCCTGGTGATTCGGCGCAGTGGGCAGGGCGCCAGTGGTATGGTCAGCTGGGCAACCTTGACGAGGCAACTTGGAACATGTCGTGTGCCGTGCTGTAGCAAGTGTTGCACAAGCGAGTGCTGCTCAGGCATACGATTTCCTGACCTCGTTTGGCCTGTGTGGCGGCGACGAGAATGCATCCAGGGAGCGGAAGACGCAATCTCGCGTCGCCAAGTTGATTTAAATTAAGCGAAGTTCTGTAGTAGCTGTGATGGCGTGCTTGTATTTTGTTTGGATGCACAGATGTGGAATCCTATCGCCCAGAGCAGGTGAATCCCCATCAATCTGGACTGAACAAGCTGCTTCAATTTGGGACATCGGCGAGAGCGACAAAGACAGCAGGCTCTTATGGGGACTGCGGGGCAACGATCTCGTTGGGTGTCACCTCGAACGTCCACCCAAGCTTGTACATTCCACTAGAGCGCGGAGAAACCGGATGCCATCACAGCGCGACCAAGGAAAGGTTCTTGATTGCCACAGGGCGACCCATACAGCCACATGCAGAATTACCCGAAGACTTTTGTGTCCCTGAAGGCTCACGTCCTCGGGGCGATAAGTCTCCTTGGCGGGTTCATGGTTCAGGGTTTAGGGTTGAGGGTTAAGGGTTTAGGGTCATAGAGTCTGAGCGTGAAGGCTCTGTGCTAGTAACTCCTAAGTGTTGCTCCTTCAAAGCAGGTGCTTCAAGATGGCAGTGGGTTCCAATCGACACTGACGTTGCAAGCATGCTCGGCCTGGGCGACATGGCCTCGTCTCCTGACGCAGCTGCCGAGCTTTGGAAGCAAAAGCACGGCGAGGACGTTTTCGAGGACTGGTTTACGAGGTGCGAGGAGTATGAGCCTTCAGCCATGGGCTATGGAGTAACGCTGCTTGACGGGACTTTGACCAGATTGAGATTTCGCAAGACGTCCGATCACCCTCAAGGCTACCAGGCCGAGTGGCGTGTCGCCAACCGCAACTTTCCCCTGCCGGAAAGTTTGCAGCTGCAACCGGCTATCGAGCGGGTCATGAAGTATTTCTCGAAACCACATCAGGTCATCGAGCTGGATGCAGACGCGCAGGCATGGCAGTTGTCATACCAGGGGGCTCTCAATGTGCAAAGTCACATCCTTCGAGAAAGAGGTGACGTGGAGCTGGGAGCTCGGCTGGGAGCTGCGCCGTGGCATTGCGGTGTACTCGCAGGGTTATTGGCTGTGTTCGAGTTGTTTGTCGGCGTCCACCCCACGGACATGACTCTGAAGGTGAGCAGACATCACCTACAACGGGCCTTCCAGATCCTGAAGCTGGTCCGGGCCGCAGGACTGTTGAGCCCGCGCCCTTTCTAGCAAACACAAGTGCTGCAAACTCAGGCCTGATGTGTTGCTTAGTGGTGCGTCAAGGCAAGGTGCAGAAGCATGTCGTGATTTATTGGGGGTCAAAAGAGCTGGAAGTGGCCCAGGTTGGGGGTTGCGAGCCCGAAACCTGAGTTTGGGCAGGAAGAGGGCTTGCGGGAGGGAGTGGGGCGAGTGGGGGGAGTGGGAAGTGGTGGGAATAGTGAGAGTGGGGGAGTAAGGTGGGGGGTGGGAGGAGTGGGGGGAGTGGGGTTGCAGCTGTTTTTGTTTGCGGGGCCACCAAACGCCACTTTGTTACGGAGTGTTTCGGGTCAAAACTCCCAAAACCTCACCCAAAAACACCAAAATTAGCGCACGAACCCTTCCTTAAACCCAACCCCCCCATCTGATCCAAACCCCCTTGGAACCCCGAGAAGAGGGCGTTGGTTTGCCTGAGATACAGCCCCAAGCCCCGAAACTGCCGCCCCCCATCTGGACCCGAGATAGGGGGGTTGGGTTTGCCTGAAACAGAGCCCCAAACCCCTAAACCCAACCCCCCAATCTGGACCTCAAGAAGGGGGGGTTGGGTTTGCTTGAAATAGCTCCCATCAACCCCCATCGAACCCCAAGAAGAGCGGGTTGGGCTTGCGCAACCACCCCATCTTATGCAGCCACAAACCCCAAACCTTTGCCACGCTTAAGGGGGGGCTATTTTTGTTACAGCCCAACCCCGTCTCATATGGACCTCGAGAAGAGAGTGAGCCCCAAAGCCTACCCCCTCTTTTGGGAGAAAACGGGGTGTTGGGCTTGCTTGAAACATAGCCCAAAACCGTAAACCCAACCCATCGCTTTCATCTGGGTTGGGTTTGCTTAAAATACAGCCCAAAACAACCCCCAAACCCAACCGCCCCCCCATGTGGAGCTCGAGAGGGGTGGGGCTGGGTTCCAACCCCTGGGCCCAAACCTCTCAACCCAACCCCCTGTCTGGACCCTGAATTTGCTTGAGGTGCAGAGCTCAGAACTGCGTGGGTGTGCAAGCCAGCAGTGCAAGCCACCAAGGTCCATAAGCTGAAGGACATAGCCCTGGGAGAAGCTGGATCGGATCCCGAGGCTGTCCGAGGAGGATATGCTAGAGAAGCTCTTGGGGCAAGGAGTTGCGCCGTATCTTTCCCAAGATTTGCCAATTTCACACAAGTGGAGGCAGGAATGTCGCAAGCAAGCGGCGCGGAGGCAGCTGCTGGCCAGAACGAGGAGGACATGATCATTTCTGTGTGCCAGTGCTTCAATATTCCTCTCTCGTGGGCCAAATTACAGTTTGGTGCACGTGTGGTTTGGATAGGCTGGTCGTTTAACCTGCGCTCACACTCCTTTCATCTGCCATACGAGAAGCTCGAGAAATTGGGTACAATGCTGTCGACACTGCTCAAAGGCGAGTTCACTACGCGGCATGAATTGGAGATCGTTGCCGGTTATTTGCAGTGGGTTTTCCAGATGCACAAACTGCTTAAGCCTTGGTTGTCATGTTTGTACGATGACATGCGTCGTCCAGTTGCAACTTCATACTCCGTGGAGCCTTCACAGAGGATTGAGTTCATTTCCTGCATTTCAGATGACCTTCTGATCCAGCGGCAGTTACCTGGCGCGGCGCTCCCTCTGGGTGGTCGTCTCCTTTCGGTGAAACATCAGGCCTTGCGCAGCAAAGCAGATCTACGACGTGTTGGTATTTCACCAAAGCGTATCTGGCTTCGCATAACCAATCCTGCGTCATCCAAGCGTCGACTTTCGCATCAATCAAAGGTCTTCCTGCGATACTGGCAGCAATGGGCGCAGATGCCTTTCTTTTCTCGCCCCCTGGCTATGCCGCCTCGCTGGCTCCCAGACGCTTTCGCTGCAGATGCCTGCGCTTCTGGCAACAAGATTGGGATTGGCGGTTTCATCAAGATGGGCGATGCACCTGCAGTGTGGTTTTCTGAGGTATTCAGCCTTCGTTCTCTTCAGAAACTGATCTCTGATCTACCGTCAGTTGCACAAGAGGCCATCACGTGCTGGGAGACTTTGGCCCAAATGGGGCTTGTTCTTCTTTTGGCTTCATGCTTTCCTGGCGGACGACTTAAGATCTGTGTACCTTCTTGGTGTGACAATACTGGGGCGGAATCTACATCGAACAAGTTGTTCTGCACATCTCTTCCCCTGGCTTTCTTTGCGCAAAAGCTTTCGCTTCTTTCTTGGCATACTGGCATTTCTCTGGATGTTCATCACGTTGCTGGTTTCGAAAACACTATTGCTGATCATCTGTCACGGTGGATGGAAGGAGAGGAGCTGCCATCTGGTTTTTCATTGGATGATCGTTTTCGGCTTTCATGGGAAATGCTTTGGCATTTCAAACCTGATGTTCGCATCTGGCCTGAGTCACACGGGCTTCTTTGGCAACCGCAATCTTTTGCTTTTTCTTGATTGCAAAGCAGTCAGATCGGCAGCCACTTCAGTGGTTGGGTTCAATGTTTAGCGTCTGCTCTTTCTGACTTGTGGTGGCAGTTACACTTTTGGGGTTGGCACTCGACACCTTCAGCTTCAGCTTGCATATTTAGCTTTCATCTTGATTCCAGATTCTTGCTGCCCGCCACCACTCGTCAAAAAGAAAGGGACTTGTGCGAGAGCTCTGCAGGTTTTATCTTAGCTTGCTGGTGCTTAGAAATAGGGGTCGGGTAGAACTGTTCGTGTGTTTACTCACAGATGTTTTACACGACGCCTTTTCTTGCACTTTGGGGTATCTTTGCTTCCTATTTCTTAGCACCAGCTGCTCGAACATGTCATGCGCTTGGTGTCCAGTTCAAAGCACCCACCTCTCCCTCCCTTGGGTTCTGTATTTTAGCTTTAAGCTTTGCCTTCGCTTTACGCTGTGGTCCTTCTTTCCCGGTTCGTTTCCCTTCGGTTGGGGGGGGGGGTTGGCACTCGACACCTTCAGCTTCAGCTTGCATATTTAGCTTTCATCTTGATTCCAGATTCTTGCTGCCCGCCACCACTCGTCAAAAAGAAAGGGACTTGTGCGAGAGCTCTGCAGGTTTTATCTTAGCTTGCTGGTGCTTAGAAATAGGGGTCGGGTAGAACTGTTCGTGTGTGTCCTCACAGATGTTTTACACGACGCCTTTTCTTGCACTTTGGGGTATCTTTGCTTCCTATTTCTTAGCACCAGCTGCTCGAACATGTCATGCGCTTGGTGTCCAGTTCAAAGCACCCACCTCTCCCTCCCTTGGGTTCTGTATTTTAGCTTTAAGCTTTGCCTTCGCTTTACGCTGTGGTCCTTCTTTCCCGGTTCGTTTCCCTTCGGTTGGGGGGGGGGGTTGGCACTCGACACCTTCAGCTTCAGCTTGCATATTTAGCTTTCATCTTGATTCCAGATTCTTGCTGCCCGCCACCACTCGTCAAAAAGAAAGGGACTTGTGCGAGAGCTCTGCAGGTTTTATCTTAGCTTGCTGGTGCTTAGAAATAGGGGTCGGGTAGAACACGTTGGGATACATACCCGGAGCACCGCTTCGCGGGTCATCTAGGGAGTCTGAGTGGTGACCACATTTGCACGCACGTTTTGCCGCCCCCCCAAAGCAAACATGACGCAGCGACATGGGAGCCAATAGGGCTTTGTCGAGGGAGTACCGCATACCAATAAACATCCTGCTGCGGCATTCAAGCTTGCAAGTTTGAGGTGCAGTTGGAGAGACCTATTAATGGATTCCGCCGGACAGACGTATGGTGTTTTGGAAAATTGTCTGGATGAACATGCTGACAAGAGGGACAATCGGGCCGCTCTGAGCATGAATGCAATTCGGAGGAGATGCTGATTTAGGTCTTTGTCTTGGGCCTAGTGTTTCGAGTCTTGTTTGATTGTTCTTGCGAGGTGTGTCACCCGAATCCGAATCGCAGTTGAACTTAAACTTGAACTCCTACTACGACTCCACCACTACTTTCCCGTAGCCTTTTTATGTTCAATTCTGTGCGCCACTGATTCATGATGGAGGGCAGCAGGACTCTTGTGACCATCGCTGCATTGGTGTTTGTTCTTCATGCAAACAATGCGAGTGCAATCACGGTCACGGATGTGCAGTGGAAGGCAGGACTGATAGCTGCAGGTCGTCAAAGTTGGTTGATTGCGAAGATGCAGTTTGAGTCTCTGATGATTGCCAAGGGTGTGAATGTGTCGCAAAGCAAGGCAAACATGGAGGAAAGCATTAGTCTCTTTGACTCTGAGCACATCATGCTCAGGGATGGAAATGGGCTCGATATTGTCGAAGCACCCTCTCAAGCCATCGTCAATGCTCTGGACAATGTGCGGGCTAAGTGGTCACCATTTAAGAGCTTTCTCAAGGACAATGTCGCAAACACTTCGCTTTCAGTTTTGACCACACTCGACGACATGGGCAGCGAATTGTACGGGTTGACGCAGATTTGCGCGTCCCGGTACGTAGATGCAATCAGTGGAGCGGGGGCGAACTTTTCGGGCCTACAAGTCAATACTGCAAACAGGCAAAGTGTGCTCGTGGAAAAGATGGCAGCGGAAGCATTTCTACTACACTTTGGCGTCCATCCGGACACCATGTTCAACCGGTTTGTGGAGACGAGGACGTTGTTTGTTGATGCTCATGCTGGTATTTTGGAAGGCCTTAACTTTGTCGGCTTGGAAGCCACCATCAACCAATGCATCTTGCAAGAGATGCGCCTTGTCACTTTTTTCTGGGACGAGTTCAAAGAGGCCATTGACACTGTCATCTTCGAAGAGTTGGCGAGCGACAACAGTCTGAATGACATCGTTGCCAAAATTGCAGGCCTAAGAACCAAGGCAGCAGCTGCGACTCTGGCCTACGCCGATCCACCGCTAAGTTGCCCCACCACTATGACACGTCATCAGTGGCAGATGGCGTTTGATGTTTCCACCCGACAGCTCATGCACGCACAGAAAGCATGCAGGCTTTTCCTTCAGGCTGCCAAGGGAGTGAATACCCTGGACAGCCGCATTCTTTTCTCGAATTCAGATGCGAGCGCGATTGCAGACCTCAAAATGATGAGAGAGGGCTCCGTGGCAGCAGACATGGCGGCAGCTCCCACACAGCTGGTGTCCGAAGAGTATGGCGTAATGTGGCTCAGGTGGCTGAGTCTCGGAAAAACCATGGCACAAAGTATTAACTTTGTGAGTGATGAAGACCACAGGCTCTTGCAAATCGTCGAGGATCAGGGCAAACAGTTTGTCAACTACGGCTTTGAAGCATTGGAGAACATTTTCACTGAGTGCAAACTGAAGGCCCCTGAAGTGAATTGCGAAGAGCTCAAAGTCTCAGGGGTTCAGCGCATTCTCATTCAGAAAGCAGGATTTGAGGCAGTTCTGATTGGCCTTGAACGGAATGTCACGGAAAACAAGAAGGAGATGATCCAGACAATTGCAAGGTTCGAAGGGTCTCAAAGTGGCTTGATTCATCAACAGCCTGGCCTACCCAGGACACTTGACATCTGCATCTTGCAGGAGATGAAACACGTTGACGACTTGTGGACGCCGTTCAAGAGCCTCTTACTGCAGGTTCATGATGGTGACCACAGCGTCGCCACCTTGTTGACGATCTGGGGAATGACGTGGGATGCAGGAGTCGACCCGATGTCTGCTCAGATTACCGTGGCCATGCGGGCATATGCGGAAGGTCGAGGTGTGTGCACCCCGCCTTTGACGGCCTCCCGCCAGGAGTTGGAGTCTGCAATCAAGGAATTGGGGTTTTTCCGTGCGGGGACACAGAAATTGGCTAAGCACTTCCGCTTGTCTGAAATCGGCATCGACAGCGCAGAGAACATGAACATCTGGCATGCAACCTTGAAGGATCTTTCGACACAGCTTGAACGGATCATATCAGGAGACTCTTCCGCAACTCTCCCTGTGCCGATTGTGCAAGTTGTTGCTGACCGCCTCTTTGACCTTGCCGAAGATTTGGCGGATGTTCAAAGCTTGACGGTGGATCAATATGCTCATGCCAGCCTTAATTTGCTACAGAAGTCAGAGCTAGCAATAGATGCTTACATAGACGCAGCTTTTGACATGGACCCAAATGTTCCAGGCGCCCGATCTAGCTTAGCAAGCAGCCTGCTGATGCTCCTCGAGAAGATGTGCACAGAGGCAGTCTTGGTCGGCCTTGGCAAAGGGTCCGCAGCAGAGCTCGCTTCAAGCATCAATCACTATGAGACTTCTCAGCAGACCCTCAAGGCTGGGCATTTCATTTCCCAGATGGAATTCGTTGAATCTGCCTGGGGTGAGTTACAAGCCGAGATAAAGGCGATTGCATCAAGTGGAGCAGCCAGCGACATCGCATTGAGCGAGATCACATCCAAGGCAGACGCCGTGAAAGCAGCGTTGCTTCCCGCTATTGACTTCTACTCGGTGATGACTGTCTTCATTGACATCCTTGTGCCGCTACCGATGACCGGCAGATGGTCCCCAGGCCCAACCATGAAAACAGCGGCGATGATCGCACGGGACATCATAAATCAGCAACAATTGGTTTTGCCCGGCTTCAAGATAAAGCTCAAGTTCCTGGATGACCAGTGTGACCCGGAGCACGCGACGCGTGCGGTGTTGGAAGAGTTTGCCGGCACAGACTCTTGGGTCGGGTTGGCTGGCATGGCATGCTCCAATGTCTGCGAATCGTTGGCAGCACTCTCGTCTTCCATGTTGATCCCAACTGTGGGCATGGATTGCTCTGGCAAGTCCCTCTCTGATACCAGCCTCTTCCCGGACTTCGTTCGCCTTGGGGTCAAGACGACCTCGGCCAAGAATGTCATCATTGAGTGGGCAGAGATGTTCGCTTGGGGGCACATTGCAATTGTCTCTGGGGACCCCACAATCTATCGACAGGAGGCCACAGAGTACCAAGAAGCCTTCGGCAACGCCGGCATTGGCAGCTCTTACGCTTCGTCGATTGAGACAGATTGGCAAGGTATGTTGTCGACTATGGCCGCATTGAAGGATGGCAAGCGCCGCGTCGTTATGGTATTCGGCAGTGAGACTCTCTTCCGGATGGTGGTGTGTGCATCAGCAGAGGTCGGATCGAGGGAGGGAATGGTCTGGATCTCTGTGGAGATACGATCGCGGTCTTGGTGGATTGTGAACGACGAGGCAGTCTTGCAACATTCAGCATCTTGCACAGGTAGCAAGGTAAGTTCTCTCTTGCAGGGCGCACTCTTCATCACAGGTCTCGGCAAGTCGGCAAGTCAGGCCAAGCAACCTTTGGACTGTTATGATGGGTACACTTCTGACAGTTTGCTTGACCATATTCACAATTCAATTGCACAGGGCTACAGGGCTACAACGATAGCACTGGAAATTCTACAGGTGCCATTGAACATCCTCACGTCGAGCTCATGGGAGCCGCTGCGGACGCGATCTGTGTACAAGCCAAGGCAATACAGCACATGCTCCTCGACCA